ACGACATGAGATAAATACCTTCTGTTGTTCTAGTAGTACAGATTTTTGGACATACATAGAAGTTTTATTAGATAAACTAATGTAAGCGCGGACATGTGGGGGTTTTGAGGGTTACGTTGGCCTGGAGCTTGATCCGCAAACCAAACCACGCATGTGGTAGACGGCGTCAAATGTCCACCGCACTGCCTTCACCCGTCATCGTCCAGTCGTACCATGCAATCACATTCTCGGTGATTCCTGCACCCAAAATGAAAGCGTATGCTTTTTTGGAGGAGCATCAAAAAACTATGGAACTATCCGCCAAAAATATGGAAATGAAGTTCCTCCTATTTTGTAAGGCGGACGGTGCTAAGCCGAAGAAACACTGGCGCCGACGAGAGAGCATATACGAGGGAGTGCAGCGGACGAGAAGGCGCAGACACTGCCTTCAAGACCAACGCACCTCAAAAAACTATGGATGCACAATGAAGCACGCTTACAGGGCCCCAGTTCAGTTCGCACTTTTGAGCTGTCAGAGCGGAATATCTGTGATCTTGGTTAACAGCGCTCTCCCTTAGGGATTGATACCATGGGATGTGGGATTGATGTGGGATCATGGGATCGACATCATGGGATGTGTACATAATACATATTATTTTTATTACTATTTACTATTTGTTTATTTATTACAACAACAAACAGATCACAATGAAAATGGGGATACCTTATCAACAGCACCATCACAATTACAAGGCACTTACTAGAAATGACAAGCACTACACCAAGTCATCTTTAAAGTATCGATATGAAACAAAGAGGCATGGAGCAGTGGAAATATTTCCGCCACTAAAACCTAAAATGAAACATCAAGACCAATCCGATTTCGGATCAGCCGCTATAGGTCTCTATAGTACATGTGCATTGAAATAGGCATTGATTTTACGCGCATGCAATCGATACGTGGCCATCGAATCAATAAAGGGGCAGTCGAAAAATGGGGAAGGATTCTAACCATGGAATACCGTCCTTTAAAACTGTACATCTTATTTGCAACAACTCTGGCAGTCCTACTACTAGTGAATAGAAACTAAAGGTCGACACCTACAGCTTAACTCCATGGATGCCGTGTACGGAGATTAGGTGACCACATTTGCCGTAGATATTCAAAACACAGTGTCTCCGTAATGAAGTTTGGCCACGCCCCCGCAGATGCTATAGATTATAATGCACTTTTCCATGGTAGTGAAATTCGACCCAAGAAATTTTAATAAAAGTTCCGAAGCTCATTCAAGTAATCTATAATATTTCTGTGTAGTAGAAAAGCACCAAACTTCCGTCAACGGCAACTACCTCTATTAGTAAGTCATTCATACCCTTCTGAATTCACTCACTCTAAAACACAAATGTCGGACTTTAAAGGCAGTGAACACGATGACCGCGGGCGAGCTATTTGGTGTGACGATCGTTGAGGCGTGAGTGGTTGAAGATGGTCAGGGGTGGTTCCAACACGGCTATAGTCCGCTTCCTCTTCAGGGACGAACTGAAGCGGCGAAAAGGTCTAGTGAACCAATAACGTCTCATAACGTCGCGTTCCATCTCCAACCATCGTGTTCACTGCCTTTAAGAATCGCTTGCGCCATCAGGATCCCAGGACATTACGACGACCCGAAAGATGTCCTAAGGCCATCGGAGAACTTTTAAGCAACAAGGTGTCCTTCTGGAGCGACCGTCAGCACTCATTGAGCATCCGGACTTTCTCGACGCCGTACAGGTCCGCGAGTTCATTCTGAAATGCAACAAATCATTTTGTACCCCCAAATAAAGTCAGGAGATATGTCCACTCACAGCGTAGACAATCTGATTTGGATGGTACGGGATTCCGCCGAGTTCGTCCACAACTTTTTCGTGCGCTTTCTCTGGATCACCAGGAATCAGCACCTTATGAGCTGGATCAACCTGAACTTCTGTTGTAAGCATAGGTAAGCGTACCAGCAACAAAGAACGAGAAGTAACCTACTGAGGGGAGGTTCCTCATAGTGTCCATGAACTCCTGCATCCTTCCATTGAATCCGGGCGCAAACGCCTCAGGGTCAATTGCGATGAAACATTGACCCTGAAAGCATGGGCTATTCTCATAGGCATGACCTCCTCATCCATAAACTTTCTGTGTAGGAAAACCCACGAGATCAGCATCTTCTTCTGCTGTCATCCACTTCCGGATGTTAGGCCCCCAGTGAGCTCCACCCAGAATTCCGCAGAATATCTCCACAAGGGAGCCCATTCCATAACCTTTGTAACCTCCTGAAATTCGAGATTTTGTTCATTATAATTAGAACAATGGAAAGGATAGCTCCATATGCAAATATGTATGACGCTCGTAATGTTCTCGAACTGGTAGCTCACGCTGTAGGCATTGGTAAAAGTAGCCTACCACACGAGCCAGGACCGGGTGAATATTGCTTGAGGATTCCTCAACGGCACGTCGAGGATTTTCGCCTGATCCTTTACGTTCTCGCGCGCGGATATTCACTCTCGCCACCCGCGAGCCGTCTGTGCTCTCCGCGCGTACATTCACTCTCGGCACTACTCTCGCACAGCAGAGAGCGATGGTCGAGGAATTCCTCGACCGTTATTCACCCTGCCAGGACTAAACCCCACAAAAATGCCGCAGCGATTTTTCGACGAGCACTTTAGGGCAGTGCTATTCTGTTGTCTCCGGGAAAAGTCGGCAAAGGAGCCACAGGAAGCAGACGGATAACTGGAGCGTCAAAAGGTCACCGTGCGACGTCGCGTCCACTTACAATTCAGATTTACGCGAACTGGCAGGAGCTGCCTTGCTGAGGCAACCGGCCGCGCCTGCGCGCGCAGGCGTGCTGCAGATGTTTTCGCTGCGTGAACACGAAGCGGCGCGTCGGAGAGCGAAATAGGGACGGTCTGTCCAAAATAAGAACCGCTCTAACAACGGGAGCGATACAAAACGAGAAGAAAGGGTCGGAGAATCGGAAGGAAAGTACGTGAATCCAAAAAATGAACAGGGAAAGGATTTTGTGGAACGAGGATGATAAATGATCACACGCCGAAAATAAAGGTAAATAAAGATGTAACTTAAATATAGAAAGCATATGTTCAAGAAATGATAGAGATCAGGATGTGAGTAGGAGAGATAATTCGGCAACTGGGCAGAGGGACAAATTGGCGGTAATGCTTCTTCTCCGTATTGTCATAGGACAGATCAGCCTCAAATTGCCACCCTTCTCCCAAATCCAAGCTCTAAACGCCACCGAACAAATTACCTAAAGGCACCTAAACACAAATGCAAGTAAATTCAAATCGTACTCACCACATATCTCATTGCCACCCGAGTGGCAAAAGACCTCCTCCATAGAGAATTTCGTCGGGATTGTGACTGACCGTTCCTCCCTGAGCGACTCCCCATGTGATTCGGTACTTCGAGGCCTTTTCGTTTCGCGATTTCAACCTTAACAAGGTTTCTTTTTAAGGTGTAACTTTCAAAACAAGTAGAATAGGAGCTTCCCACCCTTATAACCCAGCTAGTTTACTTTGTTTGAAGTGTAAGACAATAGTAGCACGGAGCTATCGGCGCATCACCTCAGAGAGTAGGCAAATGATGCCGGAAGATATGAACAGCCTTCATGGAAGTACCAACGGTAAAATGGAGTCGATAAAGAGGCAATAGACTTTTAAAGAAGAGCGAGTCTCTGTAAGGGTTGAGAAACAATACCAAAGTTTATGCAGCAAGGGTTCGCCGATAGCGCATGGCCAAGCGTACAAGCAAGCTCTTCCCGGTCGCCCACCTAGTGCTCACCCTCGCCGTCATGATCCTCTAGATTTTAGCAGAGAGGAGGCGAAGTTTACGTCATTCTGTAAGAACAAAAGTCCCATAAGAGTCTGGCTTGAAGCCCGCACGATGATTGAAAATCGAATGCATGCCCCCCATGATATTCTTAGTAAGCGTGTCTTCAATAAGCGAAAAATAGAAATCAGCAAAAACGCTGTGAATACCTTGCCGATAGCCACAGTGGTGGTGGCCATATCCAGAACATATGAGTCATCTCCCACACCACTGCTACCGAAGTGACAATGATTCGTGCCCAGAGCAGCTTTTGCGCAGTCCTCGTTGATACACAACAGGCAGTGTTGTGAATGACATTGCCTAAACTGCGGGATCAGTACTTTCTTGCGCAGACGCTATTTTCGTTGTCATGTAACATAATTGCAATCTGCTTTACACTCAGCCGGCCCGCCAATCCACTACACATATGTCCGTGGAGTCGTACGATTTTCGCGCAACAGATCGAATCCTATATTTTTCATTATGAAATATGGGGTGGCGGAGGCAAGTGCCATAGCAGCAACTTCCTCTGGAACTCACCATTAACCTTGCTTCATAGCCCTAACCATACCATCCAGCTATACCGAAATGGTTGGAGCCTGAAGAACTTTTTTTCAACTTTCTTTCAGAAATTAGTAGGTTGAATGCGGACCTTTACAAACGACCCAGCCAACGCCAGCCTCCTTGGCCTTTTTGACAGCGGATCCAATGCAACGGAAATTACCACCTACAGTACCAGATAGCACTATTGCCGTCTCCCAAGCTATCCTGCTCGCTATAAAATCAAGAACATTTACCATAGAAAACGGAAAGTAAATGGAGGAAAATCGAACCATCATACCTTCAGTATTGTTGGCGTTCCATCCAATTTGCACACCTTTTTTCCGGCAATCCCCTACATACATATCTGAAAGTATCCTAGTCTATAGTTGGCTTGATGAAAGATATACCCGCTGAAAGCGACGCTTCACTTTATTTCTGGTTTGGCTGCCATGACATGTCGAATTTCCACTGCTCATATCTGCAGCGAGACATTACATCTTTACAGATTTATTTATGCTTCATAGAAAAGATTGCGCGACCGGCCAACTTCGGATCCAGTGAAATAAGTTGATAATTTACAAGCACCCAACTGAGATGGTGGCAATCTTCTTGGGGTACAAAAGATATTCGTCCTCTCGATGCACAGGGTAACTGTGGTGGTATGATACAGGGGCCATCAAAAGGACCTTTTTCATCCATGCTTTCAGAGGATTACGCACTCACTTTGCTCATTGAGACCGAGTGTTCCTCAACTTAATATTGAAGAGCACATTTCATTCTATAAGAAAATCTTCATGTTGGCCACCCACGTGGACGGCATCAGAAGAATTTGCCCTGGAAACATGGTGCACTGGTCGAGCTCAATGGGGTCTTCGAAGGATCGTGTACCATAACGACCCTTTACTGGAAAGCTAGTTTCCGAGGGGATTTGCACAGTGGTAGCTAATGCCTCTAGAAAACTATCCAACATTAAATCGATTCACGAAATTGCGTAAGAGCTTCAGGCTGAAGCACTTACAGTAGACCTCCTTGAGCCTGACGACGGTGACAGATGACGTCATATTCTGAAGACGGTGAGGGCAGTGAAGGAGGGCCTGCGTTCACTTATAGAGGGACACTTAGGGAATACTCTGCTGAGGAACTCCCGTCAACGCCGGCAATCTCTGCGAAGAAAAAAGGGCCGAAGTCCGACATAGGCAAAATGTCTTTTTTTGCCCCCCCCCCTGTATATTGCGAGCGCCTAGAAACGTACCTTCCTGGCGCAATTGAGGTTTTGGAATAATGGTCCACTCTATAACAGTATTAGGACATCGGTAGAATAAATATAATGCGTCCGATTTTGAGCGGAAACCATGTGCATGGCGTATAGCAGACTAATCGCGATCAAGACAAGCTACGATTAAGGAGTGTATTTGATGAGTATCAATTGTAGCGGAATTATGTAGTTCTATTGCCTACCACAGGTAAAAATGTTGTTTGAAGTCCTACCAACAGGCTGTTGCGCTTATTTGCAATCGATCTAATCCGTGCCTATAATGGCCACGGACTATCGCCTCGACAGCACGTCGGCCATTGTTCGGCATGCGACCAACTACGCCTTGCTTTGCATAAGGTGACGATGAAGCCCGACGCATTACTGAAGCAAGTCTACTACATTTAGAAAACGGACAATCGTTCTGAAGATCGGTACGTCGAGTAGCTAGTCATTCACACAAGCCGAACCTAGACATACAAAATCGCGCACTGACTCAATATTTTATGAAAGTGTGTCGATCGCTGTGAGCTTAAAGTTTGATCTGAAAATTCGTATGACTCTCTCTTTTGAACGCAAATCTTTCATAAGAGCTTCCCTATACCTCAATCATCCTCGAACGCGTTGTTTTTAACACTTGCTATTAATACTTACCTTTAACATTTTATAAAATGCAGAAAAACATTAACATCCTTTTGATACG